CCCCCCTTCTTTCTCTTTCTCAAAGATAATCACTCTTGTTTGCATGTCTGAAATTCTATCTGGGCCAGTGGTATAGTCCACAGACTTCAATTTCAATCTTGACATTCAGGCTGTGCCTGTCTCACGCCCAGCTGATTATTTAAATTCCTTGACTCCACTTCCACAGCCATAAAATGGGAAGGGTGGTGACAAATTCATACCTGTCTCATCAATAAATCCCTGTCAGCCTGTGGTTTGGGTCTGCTGGACAGTTGAAAGTTGTGCCAAGGGAAGGCAGGGCCATACCCCGACTTCTGTTTATGAACGGCTGGCGGGGACCTGCCCCTACCAACATTGAGAGAAGCCAGTGGGCATGGAGAAGAATAAGACACAGTTCTTTCCATTTTTGAGCATATAAGATGTGCCAGGGAGCATGCAAACTACTGGGGGAAAAAATAGTGAATAAAACAGCAGTGTTCCTGCTCACTTTCTTGCATGGGAGTAATTCAAATAAACCACCAAGGTAATTGCAACCAAAAGCAATTGTGTCCCACTCCCAGCTCAGTGTGAGAGGTCAGGTCTAACTATAGCCACTGCACTTATTAAGTGCTCACCATGTTCCAGGAGCTCTCCTGGTGCTTTATATGTGTTATCTCATTTAATTCTGACAATAAGCTCTTAAAGTAGGTTTTATCATTCTCATTTTACAGAGAAGGAAAATAAGGTACTCCCTTCAAAACTTTAGACAGTTTACTCAAGGTCATATGGCTAGTACTATGACCAAACCAGAATCGAAACCCTGTTATGTAGGAGTCCGTATTATTAGCTCTTAACCACCATTTGATACTGTCCCATGATCCTTGAGGGCCCCCAGATGGCAGTAGGGCAATCCTGCAACCAGAGAAATTCCTCCAGACCCAGGTTCACAGGCTCGCTGATCCCCAGGGAGACTCAGAACTAATTCAACAGGACTAACAATCAAATGATTGTCGTTCCCCAAGTCCACTGCTGTGACACTGTCACTATACAGAATGATTTGAGAGGACCTCTTAGGCAGTTGCCTTCGGGCGCACGCGCACACACACACACACACACGCCCCCATAGCCACCATTTTTTATTCGTACCTGTTTGTGTGAAGAGAGGAGGCAGACACAACTAATTCAGAGATCCTTCCGGTGGAAATGGGTCCTGGCTGTCAGACTTTGAACTCCCTCTCCCACATAACCCAAGAATTCTGTTCCCTCCTGGTGATGGCACATGTTCACCCACCACCTGGGATACCAGGTTGCTGCAAAGCACCTCCATCCCACCTCCAGACAGTGTGGACTAATGCTTGAGCTAAAATCCTACTCTCTGTGATTCCCACCTTTGATCCTATTCTGCCAGCTAAAGCTATATACCAGAAAGTATATTTCCTTTTCTAAATAAAGAGAAAACCCTTTGATTATTGAAGAGTGTCATCCCCCCCACCTCTCATTAATTTTCTCTTTTTCAGGGAAAGCATAAACACATCTTTAAGTAACTGGGTTTGGGATCTCTTTGTGGTCCATATTATCCTCTTCCGGACACTACTTGGTCAGTGTCTCAAAATGTGCTCTTCCATTAAAAGACTAGACCAAACATATTAAATAAATATTGCCTTCAAAGTTCTGCCCATCTGAGCAATTTGGAAGGTACTGGAAGTCAACGTTGTGGATTCTTCTGTCCTCCAAAATGTCTTTCCCATCTAATACCTCTGTATGAGATATATGGAAAAGTGCTTAGCAGAGTGCATAGCCATAAGGCTCAAGAGAAGTTTATGTCCTTTGCTTTCCCCATTTAAAAAAAAATGGGGGAAAAAACCCTCATGAAGTATGCCTGTCTTCACGTGTCTGTTTCCCACCATTCCCCTCCTCTTGAATTCCTTTCCCACTAGTAGGAAAGAACTTTATCTTCTTTCCTTTTCTTTATTTATGTTTTTAAATAAGGAATTTTCCCTCCCTTCTCGAATATTTAATCTATCTGGAAAAATATTGAAAACACAACATTTAGAAATTTTCACTTGGCCAAAAAATGTAAACTGTCTTATCCAGCATTTTTTTCTCTCTCTCTCAAGAACCATATCAAATGCATTTTATTGCTTTCAGTCTTCAGATATGTTCCTGACATTATTTTTTCCAAGCTATGCAAGTGACTTAATAGTGTTTATTTTAGAGTTTAATCAAGGGGCATTATCCAGAAAAACAATCATATTATTGAAAAGAGAAAAGAAAATCATAACCAACATCCTTCATGGATTCAGATGCAAAGATTCTTGAAGACTTAGCAAATGGAATCCATATTTATATACTGTAATCAAGACCAAATGAGGTTTATCCGAAGAATGCAAGTTTGCTTTAACGTTCAAAAAGCGATCAATATAATTCATCATATTTAAAAATGAAAAAGTTTAAAAATGAAAATATTTAAAAATGAAAACATATATAATCATTTCAGTAGATGCAGACAGTGTTGGACAATATCCAACACTCATTCATGACAAAAATTCTCAGCAAACTAGCAATACAAGGGAAATTTCTCAACCTGATAAAGGGTATCTATGAAAAAACCTATCATAAAATATCATACTCAAGAGTGAAAGACTAAATGCTTTCCTCCTGAGAGAAGGAGTAAGAGTATATTCATTCTCACCACTTCTCCTCAACACTGTACTGGGGGTCCTAACTGATATCATAATGAAATAAAAAGAAATTAGAAAGTCATACAGA